CAGCATTAGACTTGTAACCACACTTGGGCAAAGCATTAAGATAGGGTTTGCTCCCAATTCTTGGCTATACTTTAAATCACTTTTATCTAATGTAGTCTATTTCTCCTAATTTTGGGTGGTGGGCTTTTGGCAACTACTATGGTTGCTTGAACATAAAACCAGCCCAAATGGAAACAGATCACCTGGAGAATTTAACATTGAATCATAGAATAATTAAGGTTGGAAAAGACCTCAAAGATCATGAAGTCCAACCATCAATGCAACACCACCATGCCTACTAAACCATGTCCTGAAGTGCCATGTCTACATGTCTTTTTAACACCTCCAGGGATGGTGACTCCACCACTTCCCTCGGCAGGCTGTTCCAGTGCCTGACCACTCTTTCAGTAAAGACATTTTTCCTAATATCCAACCTGAACCTCCCCTGACGCAACTTGAGGCCATGAGGGTTAAGGTTTTACCTGGCCTAAACTGGCAGTCTGCTGAACATTACCTGCCTTGACTGATGCACACACCCCACTGCCTTTAACAATCAACCAAGACAGTCAAGAAGTATTTATTTCTCTGTAAGAAAATATAGGAAGATCTGACAGGATTCAATGTGACAGTGCTGTCTTCGCTGGCAAACTGGATTTGCTAACTATTGGAGTATGCAGTTAGGATGAAAACCTCTGAAATCCATTAAGCTGGATTTTAGCAATTCATTTTCTTTTACTTACTTTGTTTCTAATGTGATGTTAAAACAAAGAAGAAAGCAGAAAGAGATTAACAACAGATGTCACAATCTACGCAGATAACAGGAGAGGCCACAAATAGAACTCATACTCCAAGCCACTAGGTACAGAAAATATTCCAAACATTATTTCATTTCTGCTTTTGCCTGGTGGCAGATAGCCTGATGAAGAGCTTAAAGACCAACTATGGAGGCAGGGAATACTTAAAAGCAGACAGGTGAAACTGATGTGTGAAAATGTGTACTTAGCCAGTTTAAAGGCTCAAATAAAAATTGTATCTTCCTTACAAGAGGTAAGACAATACTTTAGGAAACTACAGGTGACTTACAGAAAGACAAGGTAGCTCAAGCAACAGATGTGAGAAATCTAAAAGGTGCGTAAGAAATGCTGGCATCAGGAAACTCTTAAGAGTAAAATGTCAAGATTATACAGCATGTGTGTAACCACACAAGCTCACCGTAGCTTTGTAGAGACCGAACGTGTCAGCATTACCGTTCTAAACATTTCTGAGGAACAAATTGCAGATGTTTACTACTCTAACAGAGATTATAATGTAGGGAGATGAGGAAAGAAACAAAGGAACTTACTCCTTTCTTAGGACTTGGAAATTCAAACAGGAAAGCAGCTATGAAATATTCTAGTCTTGACATACATTCTATAGATAAATGTAACAATGTAAGAAAATTATGTAGGAAGGGAATGGAATAAGCATTGTAATGGAACATGTTCCAGTGTGCTTTATTTTTTGCCCACAAAACATGGGAAATTTGATACCAACACCTACAAAGTATGGCATTCCCGAATCAGGCCACAGACAAGTTAAAATATTAACAATAATATATCCAGTTACAATAATAGTTAATATTTAATAATTACAATCTTCTTTCGCATGCTTATCAGAAACACTGCACATCACTTCAGAAAGCCATTTTCCAGAGGAAATGTGGTTTGATTTTGTACCTTTTCTGTGTAAACACAGTCAGGTAGGCGTCCATGCAAACAATTCTGTCCCAAACATGATGCAATATCCAGAATGAGGTGCAATTTTTATTTCCCAGACAGAACACCCATTGGCCTCTTTAGAGCTTCACTAGAGTCAGATTTCAAAACACAGAAATTTTTATCGATTTAAAGATTCACTCCCTTTCCCTCTGTAGAATTAAATAAATGACAGCTTTTTATATCACAGACCATGTTAAGCACATTTGCGAAGCGTTAAAATCTACACTTTTTTTTCCCATCTTTGTCTATCTTCAAGTTATACCCACATCCCTGAAATTATCCTTCCTTTGGAAATCCTTGATGCTGTCATGTTGCTGTGATACTTTGTTAATGAAACTCATACACTTGCCTGTCAGTTAAACGGCTGGTACGAGATCCCACAGTCCATAGAAGGATGCATAATCCTTATTAATACAAGCAGTCTCGTTAAAAGTGCAGAGTTGAACACTCCTTGAATGAAGAGCAGACCCTCTTAATTATTACCAAATATTCAGATTAGTGTCAGACAAATAGGTTCATTTAAAAGGTCGAACGTAAGGTTCCTTGCATCTGAGATAACACACACGTGTATGTGTAGCTCCAGTGACCTGAGAAGGAAGCGCAGAGAGGGGACCAGCGTTCGTGCTTTACAACTACCAGGAAGCAGGGCCCGCAGTTTTACGTGGCGGTTACCAGCAGGATATTTAGCTAACAATTTGCATGTGCAAACGCATGCACGCAATGGCAGCCAGTTACTGCACCCAGAGACTGGTCCCCGCTTTTAAAAACGTGACTCTCCTCCTTTCCTAGCGTGCATCCAACTTACTTTCAGGTGCGGTTTGATCAGTATTACTAGTTCACGGCAGGTACCGGCAGGAGCGGGACGGAGGGACACGGGAG